GATTGCGGCCCAATCAACCTCTGTTGTGTAATTCTGCAAATATCTTTACATGGGCAATTTCCTAGATCTCTAGATCTGTCTGGAGATATCATTTAATTTGCGCATCTTCCTGTTTTGATAAATGAAATTTTAACGCAAACAACCTTTTGGGGAGCTGTCGTGACCTTGAATTAAGTCCTAGCGTTTGGTCATATTTGAAACATTCCCATGGAACGTGATGCTGAGGCTGAACATAACGATTTGAGTTTATAAGTTAACGTAAAACTGAATCTAAGCAGTGTCCATTTAAAAATGGGTGAATTTTGATTTACTCTCTAAGAGAGATCGGGGGAAAATGGTGGTGCTTTTACTGACTCCGATCTAGGGCTGTGACCCACTCATGACGATCTGGTCAACCGCCTTTAGAATTACGTCAACGGGTCTGCCGGTCAAATACCTGGCGTGTCAATGGCTGTCTCCAAGCAGTTTCAGCCTGAAGCAAACATTCTAATTGTTATCAAACCTTTGAAACGTCTTACTGGGATCTGACCTCGTTCACCACATTTCTTAGGCCTATACGTCACTATCAGATCGTCATCGTCGAAGTAAGTCCATGAACACCTCCAAACTCGAGGAATTCAGTGTCCATGCTGGCCTATTACCACCCATCACATTATGGGGAGCCCGTGGCTAATTATTTTAATGCTCGCATTGCAGGCGCGGATGTTCGGTGTTGGAGAACAGACCGCTGTGTTTGATACCTGCAACTGCCGCCGTCAACTCGATGCCCACATCGCCCGCCCAGAGCCCCTCACCCGTGGTGACACCTGAGGCACTCTACCGACTGCCCTCCAAGCTCTACATGATGCCAGAGTTCTCCTACTGCGTCGCCGCCTCCAACGACGGTGCGCTGCTGCAGTAGCGGCTTCAAGCCCCAGCCATCGTCACTCAGCCACGCTGATTGGCTCCGCGTCACCACAAACCTCGGCTACTGTGATTGGCTCCGCGTCACCACAAACCTCGGCTACTGTGATTGGCTCTTTCTTGCCAGAACTGCGCAAACGTGATCTTCCCTGATGCAATCCTTTTTTTTATTATGATAAAATGAAGTTAGTTTAGAATGCTGGTCTTTTAAACGTTCAAACAAAAGAAACGTTTTGAGGTCAAATGCGGCCGGACATCTCTACTTCGTCCTACCTCAGAGACGCGAAACTAATGCGAGAGCATTCATCTGGTCAGCGTGTTTAACTTCTGGCTTCTGAGGCATCGATGTTTCGATCAACCAATTTGAGCTTACACGATAGCCATTTTCATTCCCATCAGAACATCGATAAACGGCCTTTACACTCCCATATACAACTGCGTCTCAGAAATTCTTGCGATGTATTCCAGGTGTCAGCTCAAAATAAATTATGCTGTTAAGCACAACTTGAAAATTAGACAGTGGTAGTTAATTAAATGTAAGGTCGATTGGAAGCATTACAACGTGAGAAGTCATTGCATTCCCCCTACGTTTTGGAGATTGAATAGATGAAAGATAGCTGAGGCGTTTAGTGGACTGTCAGAGCTCGTGCATGAGTAAAACTCGCTCTCACATTTATTGATTTCAATAACTTGTCCTCATTTTCCATTGGTTATTGTTATGAGTCGCTTGTCACGCACGCGCACTCAACGGCACACACAGAGACGCATCTAGCTGGTGCAACGTTATTGGACTGTCGTGTCCATTGACGCCGCTCTTGTCTCTGTTGATCACCAGGATCGCAAGGTGGTGTAAGCAAGCCGCTACAGATGCAAGTGCTGAAGTACTACAGAGGGCAGCACATAAGAATTAATGGACGAACAGTCGAGTGGCAGTTACTGTATTGTCGTACTAGGGCGCGGACATATTGGATCACGCCGAGCTCAGCCAATCCTCGGTGTTTGTGCGCTCGAATAGCCTACGTTGAAGACCAGTTGCTGATGGGCAGCACTATATAATGTAATGCACAGCCAGTTTAGTGGAATCGGATGGACGACCCTTGACGGACGATTATGGCCTTTTATTGATCAATATAGCTTGCTTTGTTGTGCCTGTCTTCTTCATACTAGGGCTCTGGTATTCTACCTCACGACGTCAAACTTTCCCGTAAATAAAGCAAAAACTTATCGAATCGACAAACAAAGAGATCACGTGCGGAATTCACAGACGAGGTCTTGGCGCGAGTTAGAGGTCATAAGCGTTGCTATGACAAACTATTCCATAGTTCATGGGCACCAGTTGAGTGTGCGTGTACCTGGGCCGCCTTCCACTTCACCCATCGAGCTGTTCGACCACTTACTAGCGTAGCGAGCACATTGTCTTGGAATTCGTGCACACCACGACACAACTTGGGTGACGGTTGTCTCCGCAATCTCCGGTATTCTGGGTCTTCGCGATATCAGTGTTGCGTTTTCGAGCAGGATCCAGCACACCAGCCCCGGGATGGTGTCAGGGCTTTAAACACTATCCTAGCCGTTGTAAAAATACATAATTTATATGTTTATTTCACTTTTTATCAATATTTCTTGGTAAATTTCATAAAAATAAGGCTTTAAACTTGGGCTGAGTTGTGTGAATTCACAAAAAAGGAGAAAGGAAGGCAAGACCAATGCACAGGACATCAATATCAGCAGTGGAACACGAGGTAGTTAAGGGAGGAGAAGGAGGAGGAGGAGGAGGAAAGTGTTTGTGCAGGGGAAGGGCTCAAAAGTCCTTGTCCCAACCACTCACGTCATCGGGTGGTTCGTCGTGGTCAGGGGAGTAGTGGTCGAAATTGCTCACGTCTGTAGGCGAGGCGATCTGCAACGAGGAACACAGCGTTATTATTCAGAATTTCTAACACAACCAGATAATGCGGTATCATTAAGTGTTCATGCTGTTTCAATTGAACCAAGGAGGGGTGATAGCTGATTTGTCCAAGAACCTGTAGGGTGTTCGGAAGATGACATCATGGGTCAAAGTGAATGGCAGAAGGGAATTGGTACCACAAAGGATGCACTTTGTGTGTTAAAGAGTGTAGAATTTTCTGGCATAAGTACTATCATCGGCATACTACTTCACCCAGGTTCAAGGAACTCTAGGCATCCAGTTGCTTCGATGTTGTTTTTTTAAAGATGTGCAACAATTACCAAGCCGTCTTACTCCGCAAGGTGGACACAACTGCCTAGTCAACGGCCAGGTATAAATACACCCTTGTGTGGATGCGTTGTAGGGGCCTAAATTAGCACTACCACAAAACCCTACAGATAACAGCCAGTTACAACCCGAGAAAAGAGAAGGCAGAGTCGAAAGGGAACACGACCGTTTATTCTCGTCAAGCCACTCAAGTCAAATCGAGTAAAATCGAGTAACTAACTTCTGTGTGCGTATCGATCCGCGTGCTTTACTGGCGCCTGCTAACAAGAGCCAATGACAAAGAGGGTGAGTCATTGATACAGCCGGGCAAGCATGCACGCAGCACTCACGCGCGCGGTGGCTGTCTGTCCACTACAGTACATTCACGGTAAAAATCGATTGATTTGCGTTCGCTCACGAATGCCAACTGTGCTGGCTTGCTGGTCGCCACAGCGTGCACTTGTGAATCGAGCGGGGTGTGTAGGGACCAATGAAATTTGAGGGCGAGTCATCGATGCTCACAGTCATCAAGCATGCTTTACCTAATGACCCTCCACCGCCAGTCAACCGGTGAGATGGTTAAACTGTAGGAATACTGTCAGCGTACAGGAAGGCAGTTCTAGTCAAACGAGATGATCGCTGCAATCAGTTTTCACTACTGAATTTCTAGAATGCTGTGTCGGGTGTCCGGTTAGAATGCCGTAAAATACAGAAGAGCTTCAATTCACTTTGGACAGAAGCGTTGCATCGGTGTGAGCAGGTCCAAAGCGTCGAACATTAACATCCAAGCTTCGTGTAGAGGTGCCAGGGCAAGGTTGAACACTCTGAAGTGTCTCTCGGGAACAGGGACCCTATGCCCGATTGATGCCGCGAATCGGACCAAACGTCGCCATTTGCAATGCAAGGCATTTTTGATTGCCTAGACGTGACTGCACTCTAATTTCTACCTTCCACAAACAGTCCTATCTTCACATATAAAACCCGTTTTTTTCCTTTCAACCAATCCAAGCCAGTCCGAAAACTAAATTTGCACAAGTTGTTTGTTCAGTTCTTTTTAAAAGATCGTGAAACAATCTATTTTTTGTGATGATTTACAACTGCCTGAATCCTGTGTGACCCGTGATTCTGCGTGTCGGAAAGTGAAATAGATCAAGACCTACTCGTGGAATGTGCGGCGGCTTGAGTCGGCGGTGACGAAGACCTTCCCAATCGAAGCCCTCGAACCAGACGTGCTTCCGTATCTCCGTTAGACCGCCCCTGCCGTAGCCGAAACGCTCCGTGGGATTTTCTCTAGGGGGAAAAACATTCAGATGTGGCCAATGAATTTAATCTCCGCAACCTCCACCCCAGCAACGTAATTGGCTTTAATTTCACTTGTAAAAACCATTGAATGCGTGTTAATTTGTACCCTTATAAGCATTACACAACTCCATACATTACACACCAAGAATAGGCATTTACAAACAATGGCGAATTTCGACAAATCCCGTCAGTTCTATTGGCTATTTACCTGCAAAGTTTTTTAATGAGGATTTGAGCATTACGTGTGACCTTTCGTGGGAATTCGACCGTGTCGATTCCCCGTAGGATTATGTTATACGTTTTCATGGGCTCTTCCGAGGTGAACGGTGGTCTAAAATAAGAGAAGAAAAAGATTTTAGGCGAGAAAAAACGTTTTGATTCCCAAATGGGCCCGGGGCAGTCTCTGGACTCAAAACAATTGTTCGGTGGTCAAAAACTGTGAAAGTAACAATTATTAATGACACCTTTGTTATCTCCAACTGGCTAGAAACAGGAATCAGGAATCGGTGGTACTGGGTTCGTGCTGAGACGTCTTGTAGCTGCTCGCATATATGACAACATCTGGAGCATCTAGGTAAACTTCCTGGCTTGTCAGTGATTTCTGGGCTCATTTGGGAGGATTTGTCAAATCCAACCCGTGAGTCGTACTTATGTCCACTGCAACACAATGCTACCACGGTCTGTTCCATATTTCTTGTAGGCTGAAACTGCCAAACTCACGTTCCAGTCATGAGTTCGAAGATAAGGATTCCCAGCGACCACGAGTCCGCGGAGAGATCGTGTCCCTTGTTGAGGATTATTTCCGGTGCGACGTACTCCGGCGTGCCGCAGAACGTCCATGTTTTGCGTCCGAAGCCGATTTTCTTTGCAAACCCAAAGTCGGTCTTTTGGAAAAAAAAGATTGTTTTTGGTTCAGAGAAACCCGATTTCTTCTAACTGGCAAATAATGAACAAGCTTTCTGGATTGAAAACCATGATTTCTTGAATATTGTGCCTAATGTCTTGCCAACGCCAAAAATAAGCAGTTTTCAAAAAATATATATAATACGTGCTGAGTAAAAATCGATTTTCGAATCATACAGACGTGGCTTGAGACAACGACTACCTAAGTCGGGAATTGGCCAACCAATAAATATGCCTTTTGTTGATATCTTTTGAGTTGATGAGTGGATCTGAGATGGACAGCAATAATTTCGACGAAAAACCCGTATAGTTTCAATTAGCAGTGCTTCGGTAAAGCATATCATTTTGCGTCCATCATCGCTCTCCCTGTCATGCACCTGGAAATTTTACTTTTTCCAGTAATTCATGTGTCATTTGGAACCCCGACGCCATCGCTACGTTACGTCAGTCTTCCACAGCTGGTTACCCCGTCATTGGACACAGTTAGCCTTCTGTGAGCCTGGAAATTGACGACCTACGTGAAAGACATCGGTTTTGTAGATAGCCCTTTACCTAGCTCCTTAGCAATTCTGTTCTCATTAATAGCCTGATAGACAGTGAGCTTCGTCCATTCCCGAGCCTCGATCGACAACGACCAGTCATTTCGCTCAGTCGCAACCCTCTTTTGTTAAAATCAACTAGCCGAAACTGTCTCCAAACAATGGCTACGGCTACCAATGGTCATCTTCCCATTTTCTCGGTGGACAAAATACTTCGTAAAGGTGGGAAGTTATTGAGGAGCGTGTTAATTCACGTCTATCATTCCTGTTGATGCATATTCAGGATTCTTGATATTTCGACCCTTTACTACAATTTGCGTGGTCATTTTGCTCAACCTAGTCTCTACAAATGGCCTTAAATGAAAAAATTCTGTCTCTGCTATTTGCCGGGGAAAATCTAGGCACATTCAGTCGTGCTGTTAATCGATAATCCAGGGCTCAGACAGTGGATTATTGATTTGTTGCTCGTGGTCAGCTGTGAGCGAAAACACGACCGAACTGGATTGACGCCAACTGGCCGATATTTGTGACACAGCCATACTCCTCATTGGTGAATCCTCGCAAGCTCTCTACGAGTGGACCACGGCAGTCATCTCTAATTTTAAAAAAAACTTATCATCAAGCATTAAGACAGACTACCTACTTACCATTTTACAGTAGCCGTACTGATCGAGGAGGAGGTTTTCCGGCTTCAAGTCCCTATACACGATTCCCCGTCTGTGCAGGTAGGTCAACGCCTCGACAACACAGGCGACGTAGAATTGAGTCGCGGCCTCGCTGAACGAAAGCCTAACCACAGCAACACCTATTGGCTAACCCTGCTACTTTAAGTTTTACATTTTTACGAATAACAACTCGCGTAATTCGGGAGTCAACCAACGCTTTGTAGCGACATGAACAAGATTTTTGACAAATTTACCAGGAAAACTAGTTGGAAGTCGATTGACTTTGCTACTGATCATGGTTTTGAAATCTTAAACACGAAGGGACATTTATGGTACATTTTTTCCCATTTTCGTACAAGTTATCACACTACATCAAGTGTTACAGTTACTGTTGGATGTTGGCTGCTTCTGATCAAAGGTTTTTAACGTGAAAATACCTCTGGGATCATGCCAAACTCACTTATTCCTGAGGATTGTCCACAATTCCCCACCGAGGCAGACTTCCAGCAGCATGAAGAGGTACTTTTTGTTCTTGAAGGTCTTGTACAGTCTAAAAGTGCACAGACGACATCCTTACTGCAGAAGTCACAACTCGGCAACTGTCAACAGATCCTAGGACTAGCCAAAGTGCTTATTTTGGAGTAGGTCCAATACTCAAGACGTATTAACCCTCCTTTCGATTTATCATGACGTTGAAATGCGTTCCGAAACCATGAATGAGGAAATGTTGAGTGCCTTTTTAACCCCATTAAATGACTTTAAAGGGAAATCTTGCCAACCAATAGTTTTTTACGATGGCAAGGTCACTGATCCGTAACTGAGTGACACTAACCAAGGCAATTGGATATGCCATGAGGCAAGAGATTTCTCCATTAAAGGGGTCACTGCAACTGTTGCGTGGCAAACTAAGGACGCAGCATCAGTTTTCGCGAAATTACAAACGCCGTGATGGCTTTTACGTCAACTTACTTCACGATGAAGTCGGAGTCGCAGGACTTGAGGATTGTCCGTTCGTTCATTACGTGTTCTTCTTGTTTGGTGAGGACGATGTAGTGCTTTTTGAGCTGCTTCAGTGCAAAGGTACGCGAGGGATCCTTCTTGAATTTCACCTTGCGGTAAATTTAAACGAAAAAAAAATCATTCCAAAAGTCGTCTTAAGCCACTGTCCAATCAAACAGCAGTGGGTTGATGCCCAGCATGAATCGAAATTAAAATATCCTGTCTAACCAGCCCCCCCCCCCGCCAGTCTCGTTGGGTAATTCCAGACTCAAACTCTCAACTGTGACTGCTATGGAAATGGCAACATTGAAATCAAGGCCTGTGTGTGTTTTATGGCTACACTTGAACGTTGTCCAATTTCGGACATTAACCTGCACTTTTGTCAACTTCTGACAACCAATCTCTGGTCATTATTACGCTGTGTCTAAGGCTCATGTTGTAAGTTTTTCAACGCACACAGTGATCTGCAGAAGGATATGAAGAAGAAGAAGAAGAAGAAGAAGAAGAAGGACACGATTGTACTTTACTTCACACGACTTGTCATCGTAGTTGTGGAAATTGTTTGGGTTTTGTTTTTTGGTAATGCACAAATAACTGTCAAGATCACAAATTTGTACAAGAAAATATCACTCCTTTCCTTCGATTTTCCACGTAAGACCTGAAGTAAGGGTTGATTAATACCTGTGTGTGATGCAGTGCAGAATCGATAACTCGTCGTGAAAAGGCAAATTTCGCCCATGGATACGTCGAAATTACGGAGCCGCGTCGACACGACTTAAAATGAGATATTAAAATCCTGGTGGTTTCTTTTGGTGGGAATATTGGGCATTGGAAACGCGTCGACGAATTGAATGATCCCATCAATAAATATAACCGTGAAAAATTTCTAACCTCAACTTGGGGTCACTAATTTACCACCTCGGTTTACTGAGAGCAATAATTAGCCCTTTGGGATCGGTTTAAACGTTAGTTGTGAATTGCGTTTATTCAAGGTTGCTAATCCGATCACTCCAACCACCGACACAGGGTTCCCCTTTTCGCTGCATGTCGCCAGCCGCCGCACGGTGCCTCAACTCCCCCCTCATTCGCACGATTATTTATCTTGGATTTTCCCCCACCCACCTAGGTCTCGATGTTAGCACATGTATGACTCACACACCTGAGCTATAAATACGCACGCGCAAACCTCACACACGACACCAACGTGGTTGACCTCTGAAGTAAACGCTTGTGTCCGTCCTCTCCGGCCTTTTTCCTTCATCGCGGGTATCAGGCAAGCGTAATCAGACCAGATCCAATTCCGTGGCCCCGGGGTGGTTCAAAACCACATGCTGGGGCCCACAACGAAACCTGCCACGCACCATCTCCTGGTCAACAGACTTGCTGTCACCTCGGCGTAAGTTGACCTTCTACCAGCCTTGGAGTTCCATTCACCTCGCAAAAGAAACAACCATGCAATCGACGACACTGCCTGCAGATTTTCGCCACTTATCACCGCAACAGAAACCCAACCTTAAAAAAGAACTGCTTCATTTTGACACCCCACAGATCCAATGTGTAGTGGCTTCGGAATCCGTTCTTGTCAATGCACATGTTCCCGGTCAAACCGCCGAAGGAAATCTGCCAAGAACAGATCTACATTTGAATCGATAGGGGTCGCGTAGCACAACTAGAGGATCTATGGAAAAACAAGGCTGACACAGGCTGAGATGAAGAACCGCCAGGCAGAAGGGCTGCCGCCTGACTAACTCCAAAACCAAACCAAACCTCCTCTGGTCAAATAAAAGCACCAAGTCCCTCCCAAACAAAGGACTGTATTGAAGGAAGAAATTACGACATTGCGAGCGTTTGAAACCGAAGTGGTCCTCGGTAGTGACGGCGAGCGGTAGATAAGAAGCCGTGGAAGTTAGCACCCAGTTGTTCAAATGACTAACTAGCGCCAAAAGTGTTCGCTGCCGCACATCAGCGAGCAGGTTAAACCTTTTCAGAAAATCAGCTCCAAGGATCGGCGTGCGCACGTCAGCTACGGTGAAGACAAACGGGAATGCCATCGCCATGCCCAAATCAACAATCAGGACTTTCTCGCCATACGTTGGGACCGGTCTGCCGTCGATTGCGACGATGTTTTTGCCTGTGGGTCTACGTGGCCCCAGGTCGGGCGTTTTGGGTATAAGACTAAAATGGAGCCAGTATCGACGAGGAATCGGCGACCGCTGAGCCTACCAATCAGGCCAAACCTATTACCGTGTGGATAGCCAGGTCCAATCACTGGGATGAAATTGCGGGAGTAAAGGAAGAGTCAACGATTTGCAATACGTCTGCAGTCTTCTGCAAGCTGAAGCAGGGCGACAGAAGTGGGTGCCGACCTGCAGATAGACAACTCCGACGTTTTATCCTTGCTACCAAGGACACCAGTTCGACTAGACGTTTCGTCGACGAAACAGTCGCTTGTGTGTTCGGTTGTGTTTATACGTACGCGGCGGGATGCGAAATCAACGCCAGCCAATGAAGTGTGCTGAACAATGTTCAAGAGAAAACTGCTAGTGGACTTTCATGGTGCATTGAAAACGAGGCCTGCTCACAGGCTGAACGGTGCTGCTAGTGATCTGCAGCGGAGAGAGGATCAGCGATCGCGCGTGGGTAAAGCCTGTTTACTCAACTCTATTACAGTGATTATCAGTCGTTTGTCGACCGCTCACTAATTCACATGCTAAGACGGTAATAAGAGGTCGTATTCCCAGGCTATGTCTTGTCTCTCTCTCCCTCTCGTCTCAGATTGTCAAAGATGGTTAAGTAGAGGGCTGTAGGGTAGTGCTTGGCAAGTCACTACAGACACACCTGTGCATTTTGTTGGTTGGTGTTCATAGTCGTTCAATGCGTGCGAGTGCCGCATGAGCCAATGGAAGATTAAAATACCATTACTTCGAGAGTCCGGCTTCTGGAACCACGTGTTGCACTGCTGGCAGCAGATATTTTCCTAGAAGTTGTTGTTGTGGTTTTTGCTTCAAAATCCACTCACAACTTGCTCTTTCACGAACGACCGGCCGGGCTCGACAATGATTACTTGAACAAGTATGAAGAGAAGTCGATCAGTTGCCATGCCAGAAGAACAAGGACAATTGGCTTATGTCGTCGTCGAGCCGTGCTCAATCACAAAATTATCCATTTTTGCAGCCGTGGTCAATCAATTACCACACCGGAATGTCAAGGTCACGGCTCGCTTCGTTGAGTCATGCTCACACACGGAGCTATTGATTTGCGTACGCGAAGTTGACGCGTTACCACGCCCGCACAACCAGGCTGCTGAACTCATGTGGACGAGCGATCAATACATTTGGAAGCAGTGGTGTCTGTTTGCGTTACCAGTCGATTGCCACGCCACAACATCAGGACTACTCGGCTCACAGCGGTGATCGTGACTCACACCCAGAGTTATTGATTTTCGTGTACTTGCTGTCGATGTACTTGGGGATAATTTGCAGACGTATCAGCTATCGCCTGTCCCTCTCTTTTTTCTTGGATGAGATGGGCTGTTGGTTTGTAGAGTTAGAAAATGCTGCTAGCACATCTACACCTTCGGCACATGCTTCTCCGGAGCCAACCAACAAACCACCAATTAATCAATCATGTGGGGAAAAGCAAGTAGGTAGACAGGGTTACTTGAGGTGACTTCAGCGTCGGATGCGCTCTGTGTCTCGTAGTCAGCGGTCTACACATTCAAGACGTCGGTGTGATTTATGGCATCATCGTAACTGTCATAGTAACAAGACAACTTTACACCTTCGAACAGCCCAAATACACATCCAGGTAAGGAGGTTCCAAGTTACAGATAGACACATTTATGAAAGTGCTCGTGTGGTGCATTCAGGACCTGACAAGTGCCGCCAATGACTGGTCTACTAACACTAACAGCAATGATGCAAGCACAACTCTAGTTGTCGGAGACGCTACGGCGTCCATCACTTCGACGACAATCCGTTTGGTCTTGTGCACGTTAAACAATAATGTACTATGTCTAAGAGCATCACCAAAATCGTTAGAGCAATTTCGAAACTGTTGAGAGTCCCGTTTGTCACATTCGTCAATCCGGTCACCCTTTTCACACCTCAACTCCCCCTTTTCAATAGCACCAACGATAATGCTGGATTACCTCCACGCGTTGGTCGCGAAGTTATCACATAACTGGCGCTGTTTCACGCCCACACCTGAGCTATTAATACACACGCGCAAATGCCACAGCCCACACAACCACACTAACGTGGTTGCGATCTGAAGTGAACGGTTGTGTCCACGTCCTCTACGGTCTTCTTCATTATCGCGGGTATCAGGGAAGCGTAATCGGACCGGAGTTAACTCAGTGGCCCCGGCGTGGTTCAAGACCACATGCTGGGGCCCACAGCAGGTTACTCGCTTGCGATGTGAATTATTGACAAAAGAACTTGAGGTACGAGTGACACAAGGCTTCGAACACCTTCGAATCTGAAGTAAAATCCTAGATGCTGATTCCAAAGAACGAAAGGATAGACTTAGACTGCTTAGTGGGCGGCGTCATTCTGATTTTGCTTACCTATCCCTCAGAATCTCTAAAATGATCTGATTTTCGTACTTGAGGAAGCGACGGAAATTGAATCGTCGGTGAAATCTTGGCATTACAAATGACTCATGTCAATCGTTTGCGTAGCTACAGATGGTTAACGTTCTGCCTTCGGTAAACATTTTGACGCTGACGTGTGTTAGAAGGAGCTGCTTGCTGGGAATACTTCAATGCGTCCGAAACTCAGCTGGCGTCAGAGGAAGTGAGCAACAACCAAGAGCGTTCGCTACCTAATTCCAAGCATTCGTGAATCGCCGGATTTAATCCCATGCGTTACAATTGTTTGCCCCAGAAAATTTAACTTCCAATCACCAAAAGTGCACCTCAGAGCCAAATCTCGATTAAACTTAGTGCTTCTATGTATCTTCCCACTTCAGGTTAGGTAAAGCCGATGACGACGATTCTTCCTGTGACAATGCATCAGCAAATGGTTTCCATGTAGACGCTGGGGCTTGTGTATTACGAGGTGCTGGCACCACGTAAAGCCATCTACTCCCCACCAATTAACAGACCTTGAGGGAGCAACTGAAGGACAAAATCAGGATTTAACGAATGGCAGAACGTCGCCAGTCACCATGGCGAGTATCTCTGAATGCACATGTTGTCAGGTGCCTGGCGCAACACTTATTCGCTTAGCACTGCCTACTAGAGAGGAATCTATGCCCTTGAAGAAGACAACCAGTCAACTAACTGGATGGCCCTAAAATATGAGAGGTGACAAGAAGGCACTAACCTAACCCTAAAAAACCTCGTCATTGCTCCATACGAACATGTGAACTCAGCTGCTTAAGTGTTGCATTCGACATGGACATTAGCGGTGTACTGAATTCGGGAGGGTGATCCATTGCCGTTCATCACAGCCCACCTTCACGATATGTCATGCCTAGAACATACCATAATTTGAGAATTTTAATTGAGGTGCTAAGCGTAGCAGGTCAGACCCGAGCGAACTGTGCACTATTTGGTCTCACTGACAAAAAGCGGGCAATCATGAAGCCCATGAAAAAGATGGTGATTAGCCAATAGGATGCTTGAAAAGTAAGTGGGCTATACGTGTCAGTAAATAAGAACAGCTGAAGCCTTACCAACTCGACCCTTCCGAAGCCACCCACGCCCAGGGTGGCGACGACACTGAAGTCTTGGAGGAGCAAGTTCTTGAATTCATCGTCCGGTGACTTTTCCCTGAAAAGGCCATGAAGAGACAATTCAAGCTCTTAGATCAGTGATACTCACTAGGAATTCGAGAATAGCACATTCTACCTCTGTAATGATCGATTAAAACTGTAATTTTCGATGAGAATCGATCAGGGAACCTAGACATTTCAGCTGACAGTGCAGTACAAACTGAATGAGTACTTCACCAGTTTGAATACCTCTTTGGCAGGAGTTGCCGTAAATTTTCCTGTTGGATGTCAGGTCTGGAAACCCCGGGTACAGATGAATAGAAGTGCTCTTTTGTATTTTTGCGCTTTGTGGGCCTCAGAATGGCTACGCCTCCCAGGCTACAACCACACTTTACCCGCAATCGTTACACTCGTCCCACAAAAGGCAAACTGGTATTTATCCGTACCAAACGAAAGTATGAAATCTTCAAGTTTCAGAGAGCAAAAGAGGGTTGTATTGGGCTGATGCGCTTTTTTTTTCAATTCATAGGGCTCCACACCTATTTTCGCTAACGGCACTAATCAGAACAGTCAGTTGCCTTCTGGTCAATAATGGCGCACTAGAGTAAGCAAACGCTACAAATGCAGCATGAAGCGGATTCGCCTGACCTGGTTCACAAGCTTCTAGTGTGATAGCGACCAAAAATTGCAGCTTGTAGCATAAAACGTCAAGAATGCAAGACTACATTTGCCATCCACGCTAAAGACAAGCTTGCCCTGTCTGGTTACCAGCAACGCCACCCAGAAGGAAAGATCATTGGTTAATTAAGAAAGAAAGGCGTAGTCATTTGGATGAACACAACTTACGCTTGCACCTTGGGCAAGTCTTCGTCGGGGTAGTGTCGCTCCAGGGAGGCGAGGTCACCAATCAGGAGCTCGTATGATCTGAAACAGGACAGCAACACGGTACTCACAGCATCTCTCAAGTTGCAACCCCAATCACCACTAACTTGCTTTTACAACTCATGTCAAAAGTGATCAGTCAGAATGCCAAAGGTCGTGTGTGCAACTGTTAAATATTTCCAGCAGCAATAATTGGACAAGTTTGACATGAAGTGGGATTAATAAATGCCTACTGCTTTGTAAAGCCTTTACTCAATCCTCTGTCTGTTTGATTCGTGCAACATCCGACCACCACTGGGTATTTTGCTTTGCATCGTTTCCTTTCACCAATAGAAACACAGTCAAATCAATAATGCCGGCATATTTAAAACTTCTGGTGTCTCGCTTTAAGTGTTAAAATACCCTTTTTAGAGGGAATATACTATTGGCGTTAGAGGAACAAAGAGTGCGTCGGGTTGAACTTACTCTCGATCTAAAACCAGGCAATCAACACCATTCGGGTAGGCAGCAATAATGTTCGCCGTCCTAACGTCCTCGCTAGAATAAGGCAGTAAAAAAGTGCAGTAAAAAGGAGGCAGATTCACCACATAAACTTGCAGAAACAGGAATTCTACCAATCAGAATGCATTCGAAGAAAAAATGGCTTCTCTCTGTGTGTGGGTGTGTATCTGTGTGTGTGAAGTTGACCCTTTTGTCTAACAGGCCATGTAGCCTTCAGGTTATACTGCAACACGATTTCATCGATGCGTGGTTATCCACTGACAACACTGAATCCTGTAAGGACAAAGGCTACCAATTGGTTGACTGATGAACTTGCACAACGAGTTGCATGGACGCTGCCTGAAATCGCACCGAGCCGGGAAATCGGAGGGGACAAACCAAGAGGAACTTGCTTTTTCAAGGCCTTCTCTCCGAACCACTCGCCACGACCCATCAGCCGTACAAAGGTCTCCTTCTTTTCCCTGCCCAGCGCCATCGGCTGGTCGGCACTCTGTCGCTCGTTCTGCGTCACCTGAACCTGCCCCGAGGCGATGATGTAGAAGGTGTCGCCACGCGCGCCCTGTCGGATCACGTACTCGCCCGGCTGGTAGTGCACCTCCTCCAGGAGGTCCACGAACTTGGCGAGGGTCTCGGGTCCAAGTGAGGCAAAACTTGGGACGCTGTGAAGCGGTCAAAGACGCGTCAGTGAGATAGGTGTAAGCGCAATTACATGAAAATACCATAGCACGTTTAAGAGCTTCGTATGGGCTGGGTCCTATCATTTCAATTTTTCCTTGTGTATTTGCATTAAATGTTGGGATGAATTTGTCCTTATCAGGACCCGTAGTTTGATGGACTCCATTGGATGGAAATGGTGAACCTTACTGCAGAATGGAGCAGCCCTGATCGATCAGATCAACGTTCTGTTACCTTTAGTGGCTATCATCAGAGTGGAGTTTGGAGTGTAAAGGAGGTGTGGGCTTTTTCTCTAGAAAGTACCTTTTGAGGAAATCCAGATGACGCTGGTGCTTCAGCATACCCGTTTTCATCATAATGGCCTGAAACGATTTCCGGTCAATTGCCCACAAGGAACACGGGCTGACGGCTGGAGGGGGAGGAGGAGGGAGAGGAGGGGACAAAAATAACACAGAGTTAAACTTGAGCAAACACAAGAACGGTGCTGGAGGCGGGTGTGTGCGTACGTGGGCCCTTGTCTTTATGTTCAACAGTAAAGACAGTTTGGGTGTAGTGTAATCTGGTGAATACGCTTCAGGTAACGGATTGTAGTGAACCGTATCGATTCACGTCCATAAATCTGATTGCTGCAGTCCGCGGCATATTGCCTCCTTCTTCAGCCATGTGGGACCACCTCCTCCCATTGATGTACCTCCCCCGCTATCTGTTAAACTCTTCTGACCATGCAGTTATTTGTACTTTAGCTAGGTCGCTCACACTATTAATCGATAATTATGTTAGGCGTGCACTAACGCGGATGCACGCACGACACACCTTGTCTTAGCCGTCTAGTAAACGGTCGTGTCTCCGCCCTCTCTGGTCTTCTACTTGTCTTCTCGGGTATCCGAGTAGTATAAACGGCTCCTAGCCAGTCAGTCTGGTGTCGTGTTTATGACCAATCACGCCGCAGCATTGAAAGATTCTGTCAATGCACTCACCTTTAACCGTGGCCGTCCGCATGCAGTTGTAGAGGATGGCAAGTTCTCCGAAGACGGTTGGATGCGTAATCAGTCGTAGTGGGTGACCGTCTCTGCTCACCTCAATCACACCTTCTGGAAGTCAGAAATTGGCTCGCATTTAATGCTCGTTTTTTTTGAGTTTACTGCCACTTGTCGTGAGTGTTTGCAAATGCCTCACCTGTTGTGGCACGTAAATTTGAAAAAAAGTGAACACACCTAAGCAGATAACGATTATATTTTTAGATCCGAATACAGTGCAGGTCATTGCAGCAAAAATTTGGACAGAGTTAGTGTGAGAAATGATAAAAGTGTGCTGCTAAAGGCTGCGAAACAATGAGAAAACTGGGCGCCCACTTAACACATTCCCCTTGCCGTCATTATCTTCCGATTCGTCCTTTTAGTAAAAGAACGTCTAAAGGACTTGATGAATAAATCACTCGAAAGCCCAACTACTCACTTTGTGTCGTCCAGTGCTACCTCTGCGGCACTGTAAAGGGTCGAACCCTAGGTTATCTAACTAATGGGAATGAGAAGCCTTCTAGTGTAGTCTTCACCTTAATTTGATCAACCTAAGTGGGTCGCCTTTATTTACAAATAATTGTTCCAAAATAAAGCCCAAATATCATGTTCTTAACTGAGTTTTAACTGTAACAATTAACATTAAAACAAGCGTCACGGCTCTGCGTTTAATCCTATGAAATTTACGAAATTTACAAATGCAGACATAATGATTTTAGAAAAGGCCATTAGTACGCTTGCCTACCGACACCAATCAGTAATAGATGCATTTTTGTTTGCCAAATAGATGCCCGTAAATATCGCCCCCTCGAATTCGGTCCATGCAGTTAAGCAGAAAACTCCATGAAAAAGACAGGAGATCCTCTTTTCCCAGTGTCTTGTGCTTCCTTCTGTTAACTTCAGAGTGAGAGAAAGAGGGAGAGAGATGTGGACGGCCAACACTTTCAACTCACAAGTTCGCTCTCACGGTTTGAATTCAGATTTCCCACAATTACAGCGTCAAAAATGGCATTACATATCAAAGGACACGGTTTGAGGATGAAAGGGCGCTTTCAAGAAGCGCAACTGGATGCGTTTTAAAGCGGTGTTGCTTGCAAATAAAACAAAAATATGACGAGATTGCCGTGTGGTTGGTCACCGTGTTTCAGAGGAAACCACGGGGGTAGATTCCCTTAATGAGTCTTCATTAGACTGGCACACTCAATTTGCAGATTAACTTCTTTTGTCCGAACTAACTCAAAACCTTTTATCCCGAACTCCATTAGCAACCGACTTGGAGGTGGTTAATTAAATTTGCGCGCTCGTTCTTATCGAAAACTTGCTCGTAAAAAACGGGTTCAAATAAGGTCCCTGCTCTTATTAAAACTGTGATTTCCTTCATTGCTGATGAGTTTCAGTTTGAGAAAGGGGATGTTGGCTCCGATTAGGAGGGCTTCCTTGGAAAAAGTGTCCAGACAACCAGTCGATTAGCGGGGGAAACTAGATGCAAGTGTGGAGTAGCTTGCCTAGCACTTCCGTTCAAACTTCCCCAATTTACGGCAATTAAAAGCCCGACAACAGAGAGAGAAGGGAGGCGACAGCGGATGTGACCATTACGCATGAATCCCCTCATGCGTACGTCATTGCAAGCGCACATCCTACTCATCAGGTCACTCGTGTGTCGCTATCCGAAAGCTCAACTCCACAAGCCAGCAACGTGATGGCTGTCTTAGGCGCTGATTGGTGAAACAGTGGGCCACGATAGCAACCATATTTGACCTCGCATTTTTAGACTGGCTGCAACAAGGTCTGTTACCTGTCTCCAAGATGTTGCACACAAAATCTTCATCATGATTAATTACACTATCAATTGAAGGCCTGTAGGGGCCTAAATTAGCACTACCACGAAACCCTATGGATAACAGCCAGTTACAACCCGAGAAAAGAGAAGGCAGAGTCGAAAGGGAACACGACCGTTTATTCGCGTCAAGCCACTCAAGTCAAGTCGAGTAAAATCGAGTAACTAACTTGTGTGTGCGTTCGATACGCGTGCGTTACAGGCGACTGCTAACAAAAATCAATAACAAAGAGGGTGAGTCATTCATACAGTCAGACAAGCACACACGCTGTCTGTCCACAACAGTGCATTCACGGTAAAAATCGATTGATTTGCGTTCGCTCACGAATGGTAACTGTGCTGGCTTGCTGGTCGCCACAGGCCTTTTAACTTATTAGTGGTTAGGGTCAGTTATGCACTTTATTGATCGGTGCTCCAGCTTCAAGGTCACATCTGTGCAGGTGTGAGCTTGTAGCCATTGGCAGCATTAATTCTAGAAAGTAGCATAGGCACGTGCAACTCATGACATAAGTTTAAGGCTGGTTGCAGGGACTGCGATCAGCTGAGTTGACAACCGACAAAGGGCTACGCGATCAGTCCTTTTTTATACTCACCGCGCCTCTGCTGGTGGCAAAAAAGCACCGCCAGACATAAGGTGGCAATTCTGTCACGATACATCTGAGAGGAATTCTCTCACAATAATTCACGCAGATGAGCTAAGAATGATTGCACGTGACATTTGCTTGTGTAGGATCGCTGTCTGGGTATTGGATGAGTGATAGCCAAACTGGGACATTTGCAACCTCCGTTTAAATCAAAGCTGAACTCAACTCACGATGTGACATGATTGATTGTGCAGAACTGCTATCTACAGTGGGATTCGCTGCTAAATTGCCAATACCCCAATGGATAGTTGCTCTCTAATCGAAATATTTTTAACACCCAAATCAACACGATCAATTGTCAACTCCCGTCTCACAAAATTTAGCTTCAAATACCCACAGCTGTGGAAGTTGCTATGCTGAGTTAATTTTACTCTTTGATAATTTAATGACATCAAACATCCTGGAGTTTTATTGACTGGAAACACGAAGTCCCTTTGTGGTTAGATGGCTTTAAACACGCCACTTCGAATTCAGCCGACTCCGGGCAGTAGAGCCAGGGAAACAAGTTTCTTTTACTGAAAAAAACCGGGTTGAGGAGCGACGGTGGATGCTGGATTCCCACTGACTACGAATCAAACCCCCCGCCTGCCGCAGCATCAAGTAACTTTATGCATTAATGCAGTCTTTCTTGAATGTGCTATTTACTTTAGAGTTAAAACAATCTCTAGCCAATTAGCGCACTTCTTTTCTTTACTCTAACAGAATGGTTTTAAAATTGTATCTTTTTATTTGCATTAAGAAGGGCCAGAAATAGCTGCGTGCGCCTAATTTTGCCACATATGCCATTGTCTGGCTACCAATAAACTCGTGTTTATTTAAAGCACAAATGACATGGCGTCTTAATTGTGTTTTCGCTAAAAGGCCGGTTGAAACTTGCTCAAATAGAACGCTTTCGGCTAAATTGCGCCTACATTTACCGCCTTAGCGACCTAGCGAGGAACGAGCAAAGGCCATCACGACTTGTGCTGTTCTCGGGTCAATTTGAAGAAGCATCAGCAGCAGTCTGATGCAATCTGGAGACAAATATAGACATTTAGCATCGCCGTAGTAATGCTGCTCTGAACCGTTAGGTTCCCTGTGTGTTGGATAGCTTTATTACGGGGCTTTGTATCTTAAACCGGAAGATAAATTTACGTCAAATCGATTTGGGCTAGACGCTATAAGAGGAAGCGGAGAAGGTTTAACAGAATTCGTAGGTTTGCGGGTAGTTATGGCGCAAATCCGATATGTATGTGCAGGTTGGCGGTCGAGCGAGACGCCATTTAGTGTGAGTGCATCGGAGGACGTCTTCAACACGCATGGCCCTTTTCGGGGTCCAAATGAAGGTCAGAAAACAGCAACCGTCTTCGATTATCTCCTACTCCACATGGCCGCGTCGACTTAAATCGACGGAAGAAACCTTTGTGGCATTAGGCTTGGATTTTGAGATGCCGAGCACCGAGCAATCAGCATCACAAGAGCGAGATCTCATAAGTCACCTGTTTTCAAAAACAGGATTGCATCATTTTAGCGCCAGAAGTCACACAACACGGCTGATGCAGTCGGCATCATTGTCCAGGGAAGCATTTAGCACGACTGAGAGGAAGCGGACTCATTGCACCCAGGCCGCAGTCCGGATTTTGCCATTTACGATTTCCGGGATGCGTGGCCATCAGTAAAAAAATTAAACAAGTCTTTTCAAAACTTTTTCACAACGTAGCGGGTCAAATGAAACGGAAAGCCGGGCCGAGATAGCTTGTGATCCACTTGGATAGCTAATTACACATTGCCGTGCTTAGAGAAGACGAAAATGAGGACGTTTGATGATGTTTCCGGCATGTTTACAGGTATGCAGTCTTCAATGAGTATGTCGTTTGTCTATGCAGTATGTTTCGACGTCAGTAGCCAACATTTGCTAACTGAGTCAGCAAAGTTTGGCGGTAGGAAGAAAAATTGTTGTGAAATTGGTCCCAAGGGAAACAAGTCTTTCAGATAAGTTGGACGTACTTCCTGAAAATGCGACAATGCGTGTGTGTTCTGGCCCCATCCAGTACACCGACGTACGCCATGAAGTAAGCTCTACTGCTTACACGGCCCTGTGTCAAGTTTTGTTCTAACGGTTGCTACAGCGACTGCCAGATCAGTTTACATCTAAACTGCCTTCTACGTGACTATACGTGTTGAAATGTTAACATTATTTTTTGTGAAGCATTCAAAACAGAGCCTTCATGTAGAGGGCTGGTTTAGAGAAGATATTCGATAATGTGGATGCATACCAATTGCCGAATTCTTTTCCGCTTCCCAAATGCATGCCAATCACCCATTGGTTTAAGTTAATCAATTGAAACTGACGAACAGACGGTCAATAACTACGATCTTGTTTTCGTGATGTACCAATAAGGGGGGAGCAAGGGTGACTCAAGTGTGATAACGCCTTCCGTGAATGTCAGCGAGCAGTTAAACGCCGAAAAAGCTGTTCAAATTATGAGTGTTAGGTGTCGGTTGTTATTAGTTACGTGGTATTACCTTTAAACAGAAAAGAGGAAATAAGCCGACAGAGTCAAACTTCTCAGTTTCAATTGGTTGACATATTTTTCTGGTGACCAGCGAGCGAACGCAATTGGCAAGCGCCAGCCAACCCGATTCAATCGATTTACTTGAATGCAGTTCACGTAGCTACATTCGTTCAGGGATCGATATGGATCGATTCTGTATAAATCAACGACCTACGGGATAAAGAGGCCCGATCAAGTATGAGAAGACTGAAGACAGCGCGTAGTTCAACGGATTTATTGATGTGGTAATGGTGCGGTTTTACAAAGTAATAAGTCGTCGGTTTATGTAGGATCTGTTAATATTGATTTCTAAACGAACATGGCTACGTGAATTTCATTCAAAAAATCGATTGAATCCATGCTTGCCCACGCTTGCTAACTATGTCGCCAAACTTTCCACTGCCGACCACGTGGATGAGTTCAACCAGGAAACGCGCCTACGGGGATTTTGCAGAGCAATTTGGAGTTTACGCGGATGATGTGTAAACGCACGTTCAAGTTTATACGAAATTGGCGCAGTAGGATTGCGGTCCGTCTGTTTCATCGAATCTGTGACAGGTCCGTTCAACGTCACAAGAAGCCGTCGTTTGGTAAGCGATAAGACCTCGTGGCAGAGGACTTTCCCCAGTCATTACACAACACGAATTCTAAGTCCTATTGCGGTGGGAAAATCACGTGACGACCAGGTGAGCACGAAGGTCTATTGTGAACTTGGTGTACTTTACGAACTGTCGTGATCAGATGGGTGTAGTAACCAAACATGAGCTAAGCGGGGAGTCCCGAAGGCCAATCAGCTTCAGATAAACGTGTGTGTTGCGCCGAGATTGCATGCCAATTCAGAGGTTGAGGCTAATTGCCAGAAGTTGTACTACCGTTCCAGTGATTCCGTTAACAGACAAACCAGTTCTTTGGCATGCTCTCCCTCAGCACCTTGCCGGTCAGTGGTGAGGAGATCCGTGTGCTTTTATTAGAGAATTTTAGCAAAAGCTCTTTAAATATGGCGCACTAATTGAAGCTTATGTTGGGTTAATGTTTTTTGTAATGAATACACAACAGAGTCTAACGCCTTAGTCGTCTGCTTTTTTTTTTACGAAAACAGGGAGTTCTTTGTAGCCTACGCAGTCGGCACATTGACGGAAACAAATAACCTACCGTGAACTTTTAGCCGTTGTGAACATTTGACAGGAATTTGCGTAGTTATGCAGATGTTAGAAGGAATGACTGCGCAGTGCGTTCGACGACAATATGTCCACCTAACTGAATAAGTTTCAGCTATTTGTGTGTAGCCTTATCGCATTGAAACAGCACATTGCCTCAAAAACTAGCGTTCTAGCCTTCTCTGAATCGTCATTTGTAGTTAAAGCAAGTCATTCCCAAAATAAGAAGCTTGCGCTATCGAAGCTAATCGGGCCTATGGGACTGCTAATTTGGATAAAATTTGAGCAACCCGCTCTTAGTTACGCGCGCAATTTAAAAATGCCCATTTTGTGCTATTTGAACGACTTGTATTTTTGTAAAACTTAACTCAATAAGACATAAATGGCTGTAACCGAACCCCTTATTACAAGAACAATCTAAATGGTGTTATTACTCAAATTTGAGACACAAATTTCATTTTCAATATCTGATTGCTTTAAAGAAACAAACAAGATTCCCTTTCGACTTGTCTAGAGTGATGAAAACTAATGACGCTCGCTTGAGGCTGTCGCATCCTGGTGAATCCTCACATGAGCCACTTTGTTGGCACGGGACTTTTTGCAAACAATACCTCTAATCAGATTCCTGATGCGCGGGACTGCTGTTTAAAACGGCTGTAGCGATCAACGAGCGAACGTTGGTTGAATGCGTGAGCGATCATTGATTTTATCCAATATCTTGAGTGTACTTGACTTCAGGCATCGACGTGAAGCGTTCCCAAGCAGTGAATCAGTTGATCTCCACGGCTAGGGAACCACATCGTGGCATCTGCACCACACACCTTTGTCCCAGGTTGCATGGGAATAGATGCCAAACTGGTTTTATAAGCAGTTGGGTCCCACACTGGACGAATCCTGTCACAAGAGGACTAGCACACCATTAAAACGTTCTGGTATTTCCGTGAGTGCTGTTTGCACTAGGGCTTTGCGATCCTGACACATGTTTACCCCCATTCCGGTGGACATCTGGTTCCGTGCAAACAGTGACATATGGTTAGGGAATTAGCCAACTTCAATTCACAGTAATTAATTCGAGTTGGAAGGCCGAGTCATGCATTTCACTGACGTGAAACGTGGGAACGTGTGGAAGTAAATTCAGGTGGATAAAACTCATGAGCGAAAGACTGCAAATGACTGATTTTATCGTCGTGCTGCAAGCCAACCTCTTGAGACTCGACACGCAACACGGGAACACGAGGGGAACGAGCTGCCAGGCCACAATGCTGCTCAAAGCTGAACATGCGTTTTAGCCAGGTGTAGAGCAGCGACGTTAGTTGGTTGTG